GATTCTAATCCACCTTCAATCTTAACTGGTATGACAACTCCACCGAGAAACTGCATGCGATTATTAGAGGCATCAAAAACAGGATCAAGCGCTTCTTGATCAATTGCTTCTAGAGCATCAACATTGAATCCGTTATCTTGTGCTTTCGCCAGAAATCCAATTGACACAATGCTCACCATTGATCCTGTGTCAATTTGTGCTGGAACCCTTTCCTTTAGCATGCTCACCCATGCTGTCCACTTCTCTCCGACCAGGGTTGTTGCAGTAGAGCATCTTTTTACTACCATTCCCATTGATTGGGCTTGTCGCACCAGATCGGATACACGTGTTTCTTCCATATTTTCCTTTGTTTTTGTTCGCTTCTCTCGGATACTATTGACTGTGGCTCTTCCCAGCGGACAGTTTCGGGCAATATGACCTACTTTCAAACAGATGAAACACTTCCGAGTCTCGACGTCTTGTTTCTGTCCGTCCTCGTGAACTAAATGGCGCTCTTCCGGGTTTGATCTCAACCGCTCACTATCCCTTTGGCTTTTATATGCCTGTGCCCTTGCTTTCCATTCGGCCTCTGCTGACGCACTCTTTGGCACCGTTCCGTATACTGTCCTTGCCTGCTCTATAGTTATTGCCAGTTGCTTGATCTCACTGTATGCGCTCTCAGGGTCTGATCTATGGAGCAAACTCAATAACTGGACGTGTTCGGGCCATTCTCTCATGTTATCCAGCAGAATCTGTGCATACTCTAACGACCTTTCTCTCAAACTACTCTCAGGGTTAGCCTCACGAGCGAGTTTTTCTAGTATTACGCAGAATTCAGAGATGGATTGATTTGGTCTTAATTTCAAGCTCCTTAGCTCATTTAGAGCTCTCATTCTAGCCGCAGTTGAGTCGCTCGAAAGAAGCCTTTCCAATTCTCTTACCACCGCTTCGAACCCTTCCTCTAACTTCTCTTGTGGGATTGCCAAGAATACATTTTTGGCCTTTTCACCCAAGTGGTCGTCTTCCAGAATTTCTAATAGTGTCCTATCACCGTATCCTAACGGTCCATATTTCCTTCGGAATCCTTCGTAGGAATTCTTTGAAGTTTTCGTTCGGCTTCCCCCGAAACACACCAGGGTCAACGCAACTACTTGCTTGTAAGAATTTTAGAAAGCCTTCCATGTAATTCGCACCTGTTGCGGTTTGCTCCGCCGCTGTTTCCCAACGATCCAAATGCGGTCTCAAGTGCTGCCCGTAGGCTGCTCCAGTCGGCGCTGGTTCGTGATTCCGCTCGGACACTTGTGTCGTCATCTGCAATCGTCGGTTTTCATCATTGTTTGGCAATTCATACGCTTTACGTCTTTTATGATTAATCTCCATACCATCCATATCTTCATCAGACATTTCGTCTTGATTCCTCATCATATCCTTTGCTTGTTTTTCTTGGAGCTTCTGGATCTCTCCGACCACATCTCGCACCTGTAACACATTTGTGTCTAGCATACTGCAGATCTCTGCTAGTAAATCTCCCATCTCTGTCAACGACCCCCAAAAAGTCGTCCCAGTCCTCTAATGTTTCGATTCCCCTCTTTTGCAAGGACTCCATTAGCTCTTTGCCAAAAGTGAGGTAAGATTTTGCGCTACTTTCTAGCGTCCCCAGCGTCTCACACGCTTTCTTGACCTGCTGTTCTATTGACTTATCTATGACTGATCTATATTTCGGGGCTATTCGTGCCTCTTCCAGATCGTCTTTGATCTTTGGACCTAGGCCCCTTATCGACTCGATGGCTTTTTTGATCTCACCCCTCAATAGGGTCACTAATTCCTTCCCATTGCAACTCACCTCGGAGCCTTGGGTGTTTTCCTTGTCCTGATCCATCTGTCTGGCTATCTCTAGGCCTCGCACAACAGCTTCAGCTGTATTTCTGCAATCATCCATTTTTTCCTCTGTTGAACCGCTTTGTTCACGAATCACACGCCTTTCTCACTATTCGGCGGATTCACGGTCAATGCGCCTTTCTCACTATTCGGCGA